CAGCAGCAGCAGCAGCAGCAGCAGCAACAGTCGGGTGCACAGTCCGCTCGCAAATCCACGCTAAGAGCGGAGAAACGGACGCTCGACTGCACGCTACTGCAAAATCGGATCACACGCCTCCGACACGCTTGCGCCTCGGTCAGCCGAAATCGGTCAGAAATCAAGGATCGGCCAGCAAAGCGGTCTAACAGTTTTTCATCTCCCGATGTTGAAGCGTAAGGGCGACCGATGAGATGCGACCAATCGTAATTTCGAGCGGATGACCAGCAGCGAGCCTTGCCCCGCACTTTCGCCAGCGTCTGTATTTTCGGCCCATACGGCCGCAACCCCGCAGCCGAGCGGGTAGAGCGTCGCTCCTTCTTGGTTGCAAGGCAAGGCCAAACCAGCCAGGCACCGACAGGCAAGCAGGCACTTAACCCCGCATACCGGCCTCGCAGGTTGCCGGGATCACACTTTGGTTGCCGGCATCCACACCTTCGTGCGCACCCCGCCCACATACTGCCACACTCGGGCGACGGTGCCGCCGGCCGCAACCACATCGTACTCGCTAGCTCAAACGCTAGCTCATTCAGGCTTATAAGCGTCTTGCTCCCCACCCCCACGCCCCATCAAGATTCGCAGCTTTTCGTTCCTCCAAACTATCGTGGCAGCATGAGTCAATCCGAAGCCACCGCCAGCGTGCCACTCGGGCCGTTCACCGTGTACGACCGCAAGGCGGGCGTGTACGCTTCTCGACTGCCTTCGCCCACCATCCCTGCCGAGCCGGTCTTCGAGTACTGCCTCGGCAATGTGAGCCTCGACGATCAAGGTACCGCCATCACCGAGTGTGCTTCCGGTCGCACCATCTCGTAAGTCGTCTGGCACGCATCTGCGCCAGCGTAGATGGACCACTGACTCCCTTTTCTCCTGGATTGCAGATACGGCCAGCTCAAGCTCAGGGCACAGCGCTTCGGACTCGGCCTGGTCACCAAGGCCAAGCTGAAGCCCGGCGACACGGTGCTGGTGGCGCTGCACTCGTCGATCGACTTTGCCGTCTGCGTCATGGCGGCGCAGTTTGCCGGGCTGCGTGTCGCGCTCGCCAACCCGGACTATGCGCCCAAGGAGCTCAAGCACGTGTACAAGCTGGTGCGGCCCAAGAAGGTGATTGTGCACAGCACGCACCTCAACCGCGCAGCGCGCGCCAACCTGCAGACGTTCAACGTGATCCTCACCAACACCAAGCTCGGTCGCGGTGGCGTGCTGTCCATCGACGAGCTGCTTGCGCCGGAGGCCGAAGCGCGCGCAGCCAAGCCGTATGTGCCCGAGGACCTCAACACTACCGCCTACCTTCCTGCATCATCGGGCACGACGGGACTCCCCAAGGCCGTGCAGATCTCGCATCGCAACCTGGTCGCCATGCTCGCCATGAACTTCAACACGCCTGGGTTCATTCCCGAGAGTCTTGGGGGCGAGCAGTTGCGCATGCTGAGCTTTTTGCCCTTCTTCCATGCCTATGGGCTGGTGGGGCAGTTGCACCTCATCCTGCGTCAGCGAGGACAGCTGTTCATCCTGCGACCGTTCACGCCCCAGTCGCTGTGTGCCGCGGTGCAGCAGCACGGCATCAATCTGCTCAACTGCGTGCCGCCGGCGCTGACCAAGCTCACCAAGTATCCAGGCACCACCCGCGCGGCGTTTGCGAGTGTCAAGCGCGTGCGCTGCGGTGCGGCACCGTTGGATGCCGAGACCGAGGCCAAGTTCTCGCGCATGACCGGCGTCGAAGTCAAGCAGGGCTGGGGCATGACCGAGCTCACCCTCGCCGGCTTGGATCCATCCAGTGGCCAACAGACTCCCGGTTCGGTCGGGTGTCTGATCCCCTCGACGCTGGCCAAGGTTGTCGATGTGGAGAGCGGCGAGCCGGTGGAGCCGGGCCAGCGCGGAGAGCTGCTGATCAAGGGCGACCAGGTCTTTTCGGGCTACCTCGCCAACGAAGCCGAGACGAAAGCGTCCTTCACCGCCGATGGCTTCTTCCGCACGGGGGACGTGGTGATCGTCGACGCACGCACGGGCGAGTTCAGCATCGTAGACCGCATGAAGGAGCTCATCAAGTATCAGGGCTTCCAAGTCGCACCCGCGGAGCTCGAGGGTCTACTGGTCACCCAACCCTCCGTGGCCGCTGCAGCCGTCGTGGGGCGTTACGACAAGGAGGCTGCCACCGAACTCCCCTGTGCATTCGTCGAGCTCTCCCCCAGCGTCAGCGGCAAAGATGCCAAACAAGTCGTGGCGCAGATCGACGTTTTCGTAAGGTCCAAAGTTTCGCACCACAAGTTCTTGCGAGGCGGAATCCATGTGGTGGACAAGGTCCCTGTCAGTGCGAGCGGCAAGATTCTGCGCAAACAGGTCCGACTCATGCTCCAGGAGCTTGAGGCCGCCCAATCCACCCCACAAAAGGCCAAGCTCTAGCCAGCAATGATAATCGTAGTTTGCGTCGTGACATTCCTTGGCGTGTGTGTGTGTGAGGTCGGGAGGTGAAAATGTGGTCCCATTGCGCACGACACAATCTAGGTCGGCATACGAATACAGTGAGGCATGATCATTGTGGCGACTGAAAGTCCCACCCCTGCTGCGGCTGCTGCGGCTGCTGCGGTTGCTGTGCCTGAGGACTGAATCCTTGGGACATGCTCATGCCCTGCGCATGCAGATGAGCCATGTACTGTTGTCTGATCTGCTGCTGCAGGTGGGGCGGCAGGTTCTGGAAGTTGGGCATACCTGGCATACCTGGCATACCCTGCAGTCCCGGCATCTGCTGTCCCTGCTGTGGCTGGGGTTGCTGTTGCTGTCCTGGCGACGCAGCAGCTGGAGGTTGAAATCCAAACATTGGCTGTGCGGAGTCCTGCCCAGATGCGGGGCTTTGCCCCTGCAACTGTGACGGATCCAACGCGGACGAAGTCTGTTTCGCCCTGCCACCCGTACTGCCCACCGACCCTGAACTTCCAGGTCTTTGCTGAAACTGCCCCGTGGGCGTGCCCGTCCTCGGCCCCGCGCCCTGCAGTGCAAAGCTCGGACTGGGCTGACCGGGACTATTCGAATGCCCACTAACGGGTCTTGCTGCAGGACTCGAAATACCCGCACCTCCATTCATCGCGCTCGAAGGACTCGCCACCGTCGAAGCTTGTCCTTTCTGGCGTTGGGAAGCTGCGTTTTGGAGCGAGGTCATGTGCTGCAACTGCACCTGCAGAGGCATCGTCTTGAAGCCAGCCATGTTGGCTTCCATATAGGCCACCCAGGGATGTGTGCCCTGCCCACGCAGATGCGACTGTAGCGCATGCAGATTCACCAGCGCATTCGGTCCGAAGGCCTGCATCAACGCCTGTGCCTGCGGATTGTTGGGCATAGCCTGCGCAGCTCCGGGTGGAACTATCGGCACGGGAGGAGCAAGCGACAGATCAGGCCCCTTGCCCTGATCCTGACCCGGTGGAGCCGGCTGTTGTGCGGTTGGCTGACTGGAGGGTGTCTGAACAGCCTGGGTATCAGGTGGGTTGGACGAAGGCGTACCAGCCGCCGAGACATCCTGCGAAGCGGCACCTCTGCTCGGTGCCGTCTTGCGCTCCTCGTCCTCCGCCGCACTAGCTCCGCGCGAGCGCTTCTTGCCCTCGGCAACCGGCGACTCTTGCGCCGTCGTGCCAAACATTGCAATGAGCTTGTCATACAGCGCTGCGACCGGCGAGGCTGGCACATGCTCACTGCGCGGGAACGACTCGAGCTTCGGCAGAGCTGCGCTGGGCGCTGTGGGTCGGCTTGCGTCCGTGTTTTTGCCGCTCTTATCCGCAATACCGGCAAGATAGCCCAGATTGGCTTGGAGACGCACCGCCGCCTCGCGGTAGACCGGGTCCGAGACCAGCTGCTTGGCCTGCAACTCGACGCACAGCCGGATGAGCTCCTTGTTGATGCGCAGCAACAGCGCCACTCGGCCCTCCCGTGTGGGTGTGGATGGCAGCGACGCTTCCGAAGCTGCCTTCTTTTGCGGTGTCTGCGGAGCTGAGGTGTTGAGGGTCGTATCGACCGGCACAGATGCGGAAGCGGCTGTCTCGGCCATGGAGTCGGCAGAAGCAGCGGGCGCTTCGACGGGGTTGGGCACGTCTGTCGAGGCAGCTGGTGCGCTTTCGCCGAGTGATGGAACGGCTTCAGCCGGAACTGCAGATACGGTTGTCGGTGGATGCTCGGGCTGCGCCGGTGCTTCCTTGGGTGCGCTCGCCGCATCGCCAGCCTGCTTAGCGTCGACAGTAGCAGAGTCAGCGACTGGTTCTGGCAGCTGTGCCGAGGCAGGAGCAGCTTCTGGTTGAGGGACAACGGAGGGCGTTGGATCACTGGCTGGGGCCGAAAGGTCCGCCGTCGCTGCCGGAGCAATTTCCGATAGTGCATTCGCTGTGGTCGATGCTGGCTCCTGAGTTGCGCTGGATGGTACCTCTGGCGCATGAGAAGCCTGCTGTGGAGCGTCTGCGACCTGGAGATCTGGTTGAGTGGCTGAATCTGCGGCCGGCGCAGCTGCCAAGCCCTCTGCGGCGTGGGTGTCCGAGGCTTGCGGCAAGGACGTGGACATAGGCTCTGTCGACTGGGCGGCTACCTGGGCTGGTGCAGCTTCGGCGGATGAAGGATGTGTGGTGTCGGTGGCAGGCGTTTGCTGCTGGAGTTCTTGCACGTTGGGCTGCTCGACGATCGATGGCACAGGTTCTGTTGGTGGTGCGGGTGCAGTTTGTGCTGTGCTGGGGTCGACTGCGGTGGTGGCAGCGAGCAGAGGTTGCGATGCCTGCTGTTCGTTCTGTTCGGAGGGGTCCAAAGATGTTGTTTGTGCCGGCTCGGCGGCATGAGTCTGTGGCTGCGACGTGGCATCTGGGAGCTGACCACCAGTCGTGGTGGCAGGAAGCGAGGTCGGCTCAGAGACGGATGGATCCACGACGACATCCGCCGAAGCAGTGGCGGACGGAGCGGCAGTCTGATCTGCTGCGTCCATGGTTGGAAGTGATGATGATGATGATGATGATG